ATGTATATATATATATATATATATATATATATATATATCCTGAAAATAGCACTTACCTCCCCTGATTTATGTTTAAATGACCCAAACGACACACCTTCACCTTAGTTTTTTAAAATTACTCATATCGCTTAGAATAAGATTAATCGTTAAAGTGAGAAAAGGAAAAGAATATGAAAGTCGATTTATATTTTTGTCAATCATTTATGTGTCTATCATTTGTTTCGCAATTATGTACAATGTTGTGTTTTTCTTAATAATTTTTTTTTTGTTTTTCAAATTTGAAAATAATAACTTTTCATTCTTCTTTTTAAAATTATTTTTTTGAAGTTAGTATATTTTTTAAATTATAGTACATATGATATTTAAGATATAATTTAAAAGTTAAAATTGAGTAAGAAATTAAGTTTCATTTAATTGTCGATAATTGCATTAATAATTTTCTTTTCTTAACAGAGTATAAATGGAGTTATCTTATATAAATGATTATATGTGTCTCTTAGACAAATAAAGAAGAGGGGTTAATATTTATTTAAAATTTAAAGGAGATGTGTATAGTTTAAAAAGATTTTAAGGGAGGTTAGGGAAATTTTTCTTTTTTTCTTTTATATGGTATGCATTTTAAAATTGTTTTTGAATCTAGAAAATTATTAAAAGTACAAATAAAATCAATATTTAAAAAGTAAAATTAAAATTAAAATTAAATAAATTTTAAAAATTAAACTCACGGAAATTTGTTTTATTGGAAATTTACAAATACTTTACTGAAAAATACTTGAACAGTGACAAAGAATTCAAGTATTTTATTTTTTAAATAATAAAGTTTTTGGAAATATTATATGATCCTACATGAAAAATTTGAAAGATGCGTATTATAAAATGAAGATGTGAAGAGAAAGTGTAAACGTGTTTCTCTTTTTGTCTAAATAAAATGTATCTTTTCTTTCTGAGTATTTAATGATGCTGATGTTATCCCATTTGATCTATATAAGCTTGGTGTGTAAATGTGTTACTCTTTGATAATATCAATTCAAATTATTATGTGAAGGAGGATTATCATCAAACTTGCAAATTGCAATGATACAATACCTATTACTCGTCTTTCTTGTGGATCCGGGTCAGGTATTTTCTTAAGACATCACATAGGTTATGTTTGGTAAAAAGCTAATTTAAAATTTAGGTGAAAGCTAAAATGAAGGCTAAAAGTTGACAAATTAATTGGTAGTCAAAAGTTTTAGTTGAAAGTTGAAACTCGTTGAGATAACTTATTAAACTGTTGGTGTTTAATATAATTATCTACTTTTTTTATCCACAGGAAATAATTACTATATTAACTTTAGTGGTGCGATTATCTATTAAAGTAGGAAAATGTAAAATGATAAAAAAAATGATGCTTATATGATATTTTTATAAATTTTTTTAATTTATGGATAAGAAGTAATTTCGAATAATTATAATTGTAGTTTTCTTTAATTGATTTTGAAATCTTATAGTTTTTATTTAAATATCAATTATTTTAAATACAAATGTGTATTAGTATTTTTTACACTAATCTATTATCAATATTTTGAAGTACAATGTTAAAATAATAAGCTAAACAATGTAATAGTGTAATGGTAAAAATATACAATTTAATATGAAAATATTAAAAGACATAATAGAAAAAGGAATAATGAAATTATTTATTGTGTAAAAGGGTAAAAAGTAAATTTAAAAATATAAGAAGTTAGAAACTAAAAGTATAAAACACTACTTGAAGTGGTGTTTTGAAAAACGCTACACAAGTTACTAAAAATAATTGCAATATACTCTTTTAAGGCACTTTTTTAATACATTTTTCTTACATTAGTGGAAATTTATTTAAAACATAAAATTTAATGAGTCTCTCCTTTAATTCTATAAATTTCTATCATAATTTATAATTTATAATAAATTTTAACTAAAATATATTAAAAAATATATTGATAGTCGTCATCAATATTGATAATATTTTTTTGATAAAAATAAAAAAGATTACAAAAATAGTCGTAATGAAGATTGAACTTAGGTCCTCATGCTTCTAACTACCTCAATCTCTCCCCTACCCAATCACTAGACTAACCCTAGTAATTTTAATATTAATAATATGGTAAAAAAATATATATTATACGTTAAAAGCATTTTTTACTTTATAGTGAAAAATAATTTTTTATTATTTTTTAGGGAAAAAATGAATAATATACGCACAAGCACCGTCCCTTTTTAAACGGGCTTTATTAATTTTATTTTCTCTCAACATTTCATCTTGTTAAAAACAATTGAAGATTTTTATTTTATTTTATTTTGACTTTTTCCTTCTTTAAATTTCTTATTTCCCAAACCCCCACGAATCAAAGTCTTAACAAAGTCATTTTTATATTTTAATTTCTTAGTACATTATTCTTTTCATTCACGTTTCTTAAACTTTTATGGCTTATATTTCAATAATAAATACCCTGTTTTAGTAAAGAAGAAAAACATTGAAAGCATGTGAAAAATTAGAGGCAGCATATATAATCATACATACATAATAATAATTTATAAAAGATAAAGAGCCACACAGTCTGAAACGGTACTAATTCTAATAACGACATCAAATAATTTCAAATTCCATTCACTACCATTCTCCAGTCCCCACATAAAGAAAAAGAAAAAGAAAACAAAATAAAAAGTTGATAACCAAGACAAAAGTGATCAAATTATCATAAAAAACAAGACTAGCTTAATCAGTCGAAATATGATGCATGAAACATTGGAGTCTTTATAATTAGTTTCCCTCCACTCTTACAACCCCAAAATATACCTTTTAAAGATCAACCTAAAAATCTCTAATAAATATGTGCTATTCAACTTTAGACAGATAAAGTTTAAAATTATACATTTATACATATACTAGATGTATTCGTCCATTACACGACTCAATTTTAATTTATTTATTTAATTGATGAAAAAAATCGAACAAATTAATTATGAATTTATGATATCTAAATTGTTAAAGTTGATCGTGAGTCACACCTTTTAATTAGGAATGATAACAGGACGAGTCAAATACGAGTTTTATAATATTTGTTTTTGTCCTCGCAACTCAAACACATCTCGTATTTGTTCTTGTCAAGTATATTATTTTCAACCTATTTCCGTTCCTGTAAGGTATTGAGTATACCCATACCCGCACTCACCAATTTCTTTTAATAAAAAAATACACAATATTTTAAATTATTTTTTTTTATTATATTATAATTATAATTAAGTTATTTTTCTATCTCATATTTTAATTAATAGACTTCTTAATAATTAAACAATTGTAAATGTTTCACATTATAATAAATAATCATATATAATAAAATATTAAAATTTTTTAACAAAATTAAATCGAGGATGAGTATTAAATCGGGGATGAGGACGAAGACAATGACATGTATGAGATGAGTAAGTATATACCGTACCTGTTCTCATACCTGATTTAATATATTAGTTTTTATCTGTATCCGTACCTGATCAAATTGAATATTTTCATCAAAATTAAGACGGATTCGAGTATTATTCATTGGCACCGACTTATTTGCCATCCCTACTTCCAACTAAACAAGAGAGGACATTTATGTCATTTTCCGGATGGCGAGTGTTGGTTTACGAGTTAAGCCAATACTTGGTTTTTTTTAATAATTTTTTTAAAAAATTACGATATTCTGCAAAACGTAACATGTTTGCGGTATTTGGCGGGTATGCAATTGCGTAGACCGAAATCCGAAAGAGGAGAGAAATTAATAAAGAAAGAAAAGCCCCACATACCGTACAGTCCTAGTGAGAGAGAAAGCACGCTCTGTACAGTGAAGCTCCTTCTCCGTCTCTCCGGTTTGCAACCTCTCGATCTTTCTAGAACATTCTAGTAGCAACGCGATTCTTCACTTCGACTCAACCAAACACTAATTAGGGTTCTTCATCTGGAAGTTAGGTTGCGTTTGGTTAGAGGTTTCTTTTTGGCTTCTAATTATGGTTTTCATTCTGCTGTAGAATCCATGTGGCATTTGACGCTCAATTGTGTCTACTACATGCGGACTGGGGCGTGTGGATATGGTAGCAGGTGCCGGTACAATCACCCGCGTGATCGTGCTGAGGTAATGCTTTCCATCACTTTCAGATGTCTGCACATTAGGTTAGAATTCCATGCAATGCGATGCATGAGTGGTTCACTTATTTCTTTTAGTATTAGCCATGTTTTTCATGCCTTTTTTGCTCCTTCTATTAAACTATTAGTGTTATTTATGAAGGTCTATGTTGTGCTCGAGTGTTCATTTGTTGGTTTTAGTACTAGGCATATTGTGCAGTTAGTTTTTATATTTTTTTTAACGAGGAAGGGGGGATTGAATTGACTTTCTATATGTGAAGTGTCATTTCAAAGTGAGAATCCAGCTTAGAGAATAGAGGACATACTGGTTTTTGTGTTGCATAGATGACTACTTTTTTGTTCCATCTTATTGCTAAAGTGTATAAATATGAATTGACTCAGTTGAGTCAAATGCTACTTAGGTTGCTGCGAGAGTAAGAGCTATAGGGGACTACTCAGAACGGGTGGGGGAACCTCCATGCCAGGTAGGGATTTTTTTCTTAAATTTATCTGGAAATTATTATCTTTCCAATTTAAAGTGGTTATACTAATTCTTGGTGGGCAATATTATTTGAAGACTGGAACCTGTAAATTTGCTGCATCCTGTAAATTCCACCATCCTAAAAATGGAGGTGGATATTTAAGCCAAGCTCCATTAAATGTTTATGGATACCCGTTACAGCCGGTATGATAATGACACTTCCTTTAGCCCTTCTCCCTCAAGTAATTGGCAGCAAATAATGTGTTGTTAAACCATACATTTTGTTTAAACAAGGTGAGAAAGAATGCTCCTACTATTTGAAAACAGGGCAGTGCAAATTTGGTATAACTTGTAAATTCCATCATCCTCAACCTGCTGATGCATCATTGCCAGCATCTGCACCTCAATTTTATCAACAGGTGCAGTCTCCTACAATTCCTCTGCCTGAACAGTATGGAGGAGCTTCCACAAGCTTGAGAGTAGCCAGGCCTTTTGTATTGTCTGGTTCATATGTACAGGGGGCTTATGGTCCTATACTTCTTTCCCCAGGGGTTGTTCCATTTCCTGGATGGAGTCATTATTCAGTGAGAGAGACGTGTGTGCGACTGTGTGTGTGTACTGTGTAGCGAAAAGTCAGTAATATTTTCTTCAATTTAGCAGTTGCTGTATTCTGATAATTTTAAATTGGTGTAGGCACCTATAAGCCCTGTGCTATCACCTGGCGCTTAACCTGTTGCTGGGGCCACTTCTTTATATGGAGTGACCCAGTTGTCATCACCAACATCAGCTTTTGCTAGACCATATACTCCGTTGTCGTCTACTATCGGCCCTTCAGGAAACAGCTTGAAGAATCAATTATTTCCTGAAAGACTTGGTGAACCTGAATGCCAATACTATCTGAAAACGGGAGACTGTAAATTTGGACTAGCTTGTCGATATTATCATCCTCGGGACCATATAGTGGCACGACCACTTCTTAGCCCCATTGGACTTCCTTTACGGCCGGTATGTATGGTTACTAACTTGATTTGATTATCTGTTTAATTGTCTGTTTAACTTAGATTTAATTAAATTTTTGGTTTTATAGTACTTGGCAGAATTGGAGTTATAATTTCTGATGTTATCCATACTCTTACATATACAAATGTGTGAATAACACATCTATTCTGCTCAAGGCACACTACTTGTGTTTATAGAAATTGAAATCTGTAGGTAGTCTAGACAAACTGCTCTTTTTGTGCCTTGGGCCCCTGATAGTATTATTGTATACCTGCTTACAACTTAACTCAACCTGGCTTCAGTTGCACTAGGGTCAACATGGGCAGCAGTTGATCTGGAGTAAGAGATTGCTTTGCACAATTACAGAGTTGGTTCTTGACAGCACATGATATATATATATATATATATATATATATATATATATATATATATATATATATATATATATATATATATATATATATATATGTTTGTCTTGTGTGTGTGTCCACACAAAAGTCTTTTTGGCTTGAGATGTGGGATTCAATTTCCTATTTAGAAGAATGGAGATAGCTAAGATTGAATTCATGATCACTTGGTCATTGAAGCCCTCATTTCATGTCAAAAACAACTTTCCTAAAAGCTTAGGATGTCGAATAAAAGCATGTGATTGTATTGTTTTCTATATATATAATATAACGGTCCTAATGTAAAACCTGCTCTTCACTCTTTTTCCTTTTAAATTAATATGGTATTGATTTATTTGCTGTATTCCATTCATATGTTCGAAATTTGAAATTTTCATATTTTAACAATAAAATCTACTATCTTGTGACTATTTATATGGATATCATCTTTGAATGGTTCTTTGGCAAGGAAACCCATGGTGTTGGTAAAACTGAGTTTGGAAGTGATGGTTAAGGCTGTCCAGTTTCCAACCGAAAATGCCTAAGTAGTGTTGATGTGCATGATGTTAAATTTGTAGCATGGTAGTTTCCATTCTATCATGAGTTGAATTTTGTATGATTGATGTTGCATCATGTTTGGGGAGATATATTAAGGAAAAATGCTATTTACTCAGCTATGGGATACACAACAGCACAAGTTGCTTCTTTTGAATTCTGGCAGCCTTGCATAGATTTCAGATGCAATAATCTATGCAGTTGTGCACATTTTGTGTCCAGAATGCATGTGCAAATACAATTATTCACGATGGACTTACCCATTTGTAGCCATAGTGATTATAGCTTAATTAACATGTATTTGTTTCTCCTCTCATTTATACTAGTGTTTAGAGTTCGGTGGCTGATTAAAGGATTTATATTATTTGTTCTAAGTGCGGAAGAGTTGTTCTTAAGCACATTCTCATGTTTTGTTGTAGCATTGCAATTTTTGTGTGTTATTTTTTATTTTTGGGATTTTTTCTTAATTCATTCTCTAGATAACAGTGGGTACAACCTTATGCATTTTATTTGCAAAATGGGCATTGCAAGTTTGGCTCCACGTGCAAATTTGACCATCCGTTGGGATCTATGAGATACAGTCCATCGGTATCTTCTCTCATTGAGGTGCCAATTACTCCATATCCAGTTGGGTCTTTACTGCCTCACCTTGCCTCTTCAACATCTTCAGAGCTTTGGTTTGAACTGATATCAGGGTCCAAAAAGGAATCCCATTCAGCCAGAATACCTTTTGGAAATAGTTCCGCTACCTCTGTGGGTTTAATTTTCTCACAAAGTGGGTCTGGCTCGCTATCTGATGTGCAACTCTCGAGTCAGAGTTCTGCCCCTCTAAGCAATAGCAGAAGCACCAGACAAAGCGATGAGATACGTTGATATGGCTAGTGTAAAACTTGAAAATGACTCCTTATTTATTGGATGTGATTTCACAAGCCTCTTTTGCTTCTGTCTATAGTCCTCAGTATTTTGATGGCAACTGTTCAAAGTTTCACTATCGATGTTGAGAATTCGTCATTCAATCTTGTTTAGAGCCTATACTAATTACCAGGTCATTCTCATTTATGCTCATCTCATCTGATTATATTAGTATCTCAAATAAGGTTCAATAGGAAACTCTATATTGTCTACTCTTCCTCTCATGAATATTAGTATTATTCATCCTTTAATTATGGCGCTTGTGAGTTGTGACGTATTACATTTGTTCTGCATGTTTGAGACAGCATAGTTCCTACCCCGTATAAAGATGAAGAGAGGGCCCAAGTTTCAGTTTTGCTACCGCTTTTTTAGTACTTAACTGGATTTTGGAATACATGTCTTTTTTCTTTTTTCAAAATTTAAATACATGATATCGTTCTCTCTCGCATCCTTAGAAATCTAGATAAAACAATAAAAATATAAATAAAAGAATATTTAAAATGTTAATATAACTTATAAAAATTATAGATGTTTGGAATTTTAAATTCTAATAAACTAAACCAATAGAAAAATATTATATTGTTATTTCATTAAATATTTTTTTACTAAAATACTTGATCAGTGTCAAGGAAATTTAAGAAAATAAAAGATACATATTATAAATGAAGACGTAGGAATGTATGATTATATGAAAAGAGAAGATGCACGTCTTGTGGGGTCTTAGCGTCCTAGTTATTTTCTAGATGGTCTTCCATAATTCTGAATTCTCTAGCCACGAATGCATTACACTCAATCTCCATCTTGTCCAAATGAAGACATCCTTCCTCAATCCGGTGCCTATTTTCGTGGTCAGTGAATTCTCGGTTCTTCCTGCTTTGATGTGCTGAAAGCTGAATTGCCATGGTTCGTATAGAATGGAATGGAGGTTTCAAATACATTTGCTGTGATATGGATATTGCTCATCAATTCAGGGTTGTGTCCTCCGTATCATCAATATGTTTCGTTAGTCAATAGGAGTTGGCTTATTTCGCCTCTTCTGGACTCCCTCCTTCTTAGGGATAGTCTATGCTGAGTTAAACCCAATTTTATCTATAAATCATGTAATACCATCTGGATTTCTTTTTTAATTCTTTTTATAAGGTGAATAATAAATCTCTTTCTAAAAAAAATTACAGTAAATCTTTCATAACGTATTCTATCTGTTCATTTTTTTAATTTCCAGTTTTTGCTTCTCTTAATAAATGAACTGTCAGTATAAACTTTTATACAGTCAATTATTTATAAATCATCAATGATACAATTTTTGATGTAGTTGTTGTTAAAGTGGACAAATTTACTACACATAATAAATTGTGATTGAATGACTTTAGAAAACTACTTTAGAGAACAAGTTATGAACTACTTTTCAATTTGAGTACAAATTAAAAATATAAGGCACATAAATAAAAATTATAAGTACTTATAATCAGGAAGAAATAATGAGTATAGAAGATACATAATGTACCACCACCGAGGTCCACCGAGGTTATACCTAAACCTCGGTCATACCGAGATCCTAACATGACATATCGGCCAATGTAAGCTGACTTAAACCCCGACATAAACGAAACCGATCTCTCAACACATAAGCAACATCAAACACATAACACGTGCCAATAATGATCGACATAACCATAATTAACCCACCTCGGACAACTGCTAAGGCGGTTACATCGGAAAACCCACGATAGATAATGATATAAGCAGTACGCGTCATTGGAGACCCAACTAACTTGATCGTCGGAGTCCTTTTTGCAGGTACATCCGAGACGCTCATCCGAGAAGACTGAAGAAGAAGGAACTCAACTCACTATGTCAACATCGCACAACCTCGACCAAACCCTACGAGGAAGATAACTTACCCGAGTTAGGAACCCGACCTGATTCGTGTAAGTACATTTGGTGCTAGAAGGAGGGCCTGGTAAAATTTCTCCTCCTTCACCCTTATGGTATCAACCCGAAGTCAGACCAACAGAGCAACGAGCCCATTACGTTCTAGCACATCAAACATGGAAGATAACCCAACCTTGCGACGGTTACTCGAACAGATCGAGTTGATGCGACAGCAACATGCGGAAGCGATGGAAAATCTTCGTAAACAACATGAGGCCGACCTCCAACAAATGCGTGCCGAGCATACCGCTTTTAGAAATCAATGGCAACACCATCAACCACCACCACATACCAGTCATGCTTCTCCTGTCGCCGAGGAACACCTCTCCTCCCCAGATCCTACCTATCCAACTCGATCTCATCATTCTGAGCAAACCCATATTAGTCGTCCAGTTGGTGATCGTCACTCGGTCCGCCGACACCCTTTTGTCGACGGAATCATGGAAGTTCCTCTTCCACCCGCCTGGAAACCGTTGAACATTGAGCGATACGACGGCACCTCAGACCCTGACGAGCACATTGACGCATATATCACTCAAATTAACCTTTACACAAACGAAGATGCCATCATGTGCCGTGTATTCCCCACCTCCCTTAAGGGTGCTGCCCTTAGTTGGTATACCCAACTACCACCCAGATCGGTCGATAATTTCAACACCCTGGTGCGTCTTTTCTCCGCTCAGTATGCCACTAGTAGACCTCATCACATCACATCGGCCGCGCTTTCAAATCTACGACAACAGGATGATGAATCTCTACGTCATTTTATGGAGCGATTCGCTAATGTCTCTGTGAAAATCCGCAACCTCAATCCTGAGGTCGCCCTTCACTCCATGCTTATGGCACTGAAACCCGGGCCTTTTGTTGATAGCCTCTGCCGACATCAACCGGCGAGCATGGATGAACTTAGAGCGCGCGCGGCTGGCTATATCCAAATGGAGGAACACGCTGAGTTTCAAAACTCGGTCCGTGATAGTCTCATTAAAGGCGAGCCTAGTAACAAGGAGAAGTCAAAAACTCATCTCGACCAAAGATCAAAGAGACCTCGTCAGTCACAAGGTCCCAGGTATGAATTCTATACCCCTCTCAAAGCTCCTCGTGTTAATATTTTAGAGGAAGCTAACCATGCAGATTTGATCTCCTTACCTCCTCCGGCATTCAACTCGGCCAATGCCGACAAGAGCAAACATTGTCGTTATCACCGAAATTATGGGCATACCACTAAAGAATGCTGGAGTCTTAAAGACAAGATCGAAGAATTAATCCAAGCTGCTCAACTCGGACAATTTGTCCAACGCGGCCAAGCTTCCCGAGGAGGCTTTCGTGGTCGAGGCAGAGGACGAGATAGATATTCAAACAGGTATCAAGGTCGTTACCAAGGTCATCCAGGACGATTTGAGCAGGGCAATTACCAACAAGCACAAGCACGCGAAGAAAATAAACCTAACGCGAACAGTGCTGACCCACAACATGCAGATAAATCCTCTACGGAAAACAACTTGCGTGGAGTCATTAATACCATTGCAGGAGGTTTTGCTGGTGGAGGGAGCTCTAATTCTGCCAGAAAGCGGCATCTGCGTAACATTAATAATGTCAATGATCATCACGACTCAGGATTGAAACCGAACCCACCAACTCCTCCTATTATTTTCACTGACGATGATTTTGACGGAATCAATCTCAACCAAGATGACCCCATGGTCATCTCGGTTGAAGTAGCAAACTGGGAGGTCCAAAAAACTTTAGTTGATCAAGGTAGCTCTGTTGATGTGTTGTACTAGCCGACCTTTCTTAAGCTTGACATCCCCCATAGCATGATCCAACCATATTTTGAGCCCCTTGTAGGCTTCGCAGGTGAGCGAGTCCATACTCGCGGATTTATTGAATTACTAACCTCTTTTGGTACAGCGTTGAATTCGAGAAGGGTGTTGGTGAAGTACCTCTTAGTTGATGCCAACACCTCTTACAACATTCTTATCGGAAGACCAACACTGAATCAGTTGGGAGCCGTAGTGTCCACACCCCACTTGACAATGAAATTCCCGGGAATCAATGGACAAATCATAGCTATCAAGGCCAATCAACAGTTAGCAAGGAGGTGTTACGCAGAAAGTCTAAAGATCACTCCCACAAAACCTCAACTCGGGATAACGAGTTCAACCACCGTGGCCCATGTTGACAAGAACGAGATGGTCGAGCTGGACCCCCGAGTAGACATGTATGACCACCGACCTAGTCCTGTTGATGATTTGCTGGAGTTCCAAATCGGTAAGAAACCAGGACAATGCACCAAAATCGGGAAGCACACAGAACCCGAGCTCCGAGGTAAGATCATGGCAACTTTAATTGAAAATGCTGACCTTTTTGCCTAGAGCAGTGCAGATATGCCAGGGATAGATCCCAATGTTATTTGCCACAAGTTAGCCGTTTATAGAGAAGCAAAGCCAATATCTCAGAAGCAAAGAAAGATCGGGGGTGAAAGAAGAGAAGCTGTTAAGATCGAGACTCAGAAATTGTTGAGTGCAGGATTCATCAGAGAAATTAAATATATCACTTGGCTAGCCAATGTCATCATGGTCAAGAAATCTAATGGTAAGTGGCGTATGTGCGTTAGATTAATAGATCTCATTTATTAAATTACTCATATAAATAGTGCATATAGGGATATAACTATTGAACAGACTCTATAAAGGAGAATTCCTAATGGTTATGTATTACCTTAAAATTTTTCCCTATATGCACTATTTATATGAGTAATTTAATAAATGAGATATATTAATCTTTATCCAATAAAGACTATTACACATATATTGATCATTAATGATGTCCTATCCTCAATAATTCTACGATCAAGAATAATTTAGATTAAAATTAAAAAATACTTGTTTTTCTCATTATTATAATCTCTATTATAAAAAAAGAAATCTTTAATTTTAATCAAGGACTTTATCATATTAATTATTTCTCATAATCAATAAATATAAAATTAAAGTACAATCTTATTAATGCATATAAGATAGATTGGATCTTACGCATACATCTTATTCCCAACATCTATTTTATTGTGACAGAGCAAATCAAAAGTAGAGAAGAATCAAGCAACCCTCTTTCCAGTTGAGGTTCTCCCTCTCTTAAAACAATCATATATTTAATAATCAATAGATTAATGATCATGAAAAACATCACGAACAAGCCAATTTCTAATCAGAACATCTAAAACAAATAACAGTCGTAATTTCAAAAAGAAAATAATACTGCAAAAACAAATAACAGTCGTAATTTCAAAAAGAAAATAATACTGCAATATCAAATCAAAACGTTAATAAACAAATAATAATATTCGTATTCCCTTACCTCAAATTCGTAATCTTTGAAAAATTTGTTCCATTGAAAACCTCTGAACAAAAAAAATCATAATGAAATATTATACAAAAAAAAATAGGGAATCAAAATGAATATGAATTGAAAATACACCTTAAAATAGAAGCAATCGATCAAGAACAACATAGAGAAGATAAAACTCTTACAAAATCACTAACCCCAAATTGGACACTGTTGTGCCCAAAGTGTGTAGGTATCCTCCAAAGTCCCACATTGGGTATTTTTGAAGAAGGGAGGAATGTTGTGCCCAAAGTGTGTGGGTATCCTCCAAAGTCCCACATTGGGTAGTTTGAAGAAGGGAAGTGGTAGACTACTACTATAAATAAGGAGTGATAGTTTGGGTCTACTCACCACAACAACATTGGTTCCAATGGGTGTATTGGGGACTTGGGTAGTTGTGTGTCATGAGAGGGTTTCCAAGTTTCGCTAGAAAACTTGTGTATGAAGGTTTCCAAGTTTTTCTAGAAAACTTGTGAATGAGAGGGTTTGCAATTTTGTCCTTGTAAAAATTGTAAGTGGAGAAATAAAATGAGTTGTTTGTGGATGTAGGCAAGAAGTGCCGAACCACATTAATTTCTGAGTTTGTTTCTCTATTTTGTTTCTCTGGTGTGTGTGCTTCCGCTGTTTGAAGGCTTCTTTTCCCAACAGACACTTAGCAAAATAGTTTCATCGCAGATTGGATCACCAACGATTGTGTTGAGTGTGAAGTGAAGCAGAAAGTTTAATGAAAGAAGAAGTTTGAGTGTGAAGTGTAGTAGAACATACGTGAAGTGAAGTAGAGCATGCCCTAGTTATGACCTTTAACTCTTTATTTTTATTATTTTAATAAGAATAAAAATATATTTTAATTAAGTTATCCACCTGATGACACAAAGAGTTGAAAAATGGATAAATAGATATTTAAACATTGTGGTGCTTTAAAATCACAAAAAATTTAATTATTTTGTGAGGGTTAAAATAACTCCTAAAATTATAACATTTTGTGGCAGCTTATTAAAATTGCTAGAAAAAAACTGCCACTAATTAACTACTTTTTTGTAATGCTAATCCATCAAAACAAAGACTAATCTCGCTTGTAATATTATGATTCTTATTAATTCTACAAAAAAATTTACATAAAGAATAATCAAACACAAATCTCTCACTATATAAATCATTTTCGTAATATATAATTACATAATACCTTACTACTATGTTGACACATTGGGATAGGTCCTTTTTATTTTGTTTGCGTAGGATTGAAGTAAAAAAAATTGGAGAGAAAAAACAACATTTTATACACTAACTACATAAATAAATTTATATAGGTATCCAAATAGAAACGGTCTTGTATAATAATTTTTAATTTTTTTTTACTAAAAGATCATATATATTAAGTTTGTTCACTAGCTAAAATGTAACACTTTACACCGTCAACGCATAAAATACTAAAATAAAATAAAAGGGATAATGAAATTAAATAAAACTATTAGATTTCTATCATTTGAAACAGAAATGGGAAGGCAGGAGACGAATTATTTTCATGAGACTCGCTAAAAAAATAATTTTATTGCCAAATTGACATGAAATGAAAATTAAATTATCTCTCATTTCATTTTTTTGGTTTTATTTTGTAAAAATAATTATTGTTTAAAAAACAAAAAACTAATTTATGTTAAGAAAAAAGTTGACTTTTTTCAATAAATTAAAAATGATTTCACATAATTTATTTATTTATGAATTTTTTTTACTCATTCAAACAAGTAAAAAAAACTATATCACCATCACCTCCACTATGATAGTATTATCAATAATGGTGATAATGGAAATAATTGTAAAAAAAATATGGTGATGACAATATATAATAATTTTAATTTATAATTTTTAATTATAACCTAAGTATTGTTATTAATAAAACTCTTGTTAACAAATGTCATCACTTAAATCATCTCTCTATATATTACTACCATTAATTTCATAAATATATACTTAAATCGAGTAACATCTAAATAGTTTACACAACTTTTATATACCATACATCACTGTCATGAATTTAATAATATGTCATTATACTGCTAACAAAATTTATGTTCATTGCTTGTGGTGGTTGTTTATCTTCCGATAAAAGTGATATTTCATAATGATTTGATTAAAATAAGATGATTAACTATTATTTATTTTATCATTTTCATCGACTATTGTAACTTTAAATATTTGTTAAACATCTACGAAATTCTTTCAAGTTTTATAAATCTATAACATAAAATTCTTTCAAATTTTGTAAATTCCTTTTAAATTTTATATATTTTTACGATATAATTTTTTATCACAAAATATTAACTATAAAGTTTTTTTCTTCTTCTTACAAATGAGTACAGTTTATATTTTCTTTAAAAATAAAATCTGAATTCAGTCTCTTGCTACATTTTCTTCTCACTTAATGATTGGATACAGAATATTGAGAACAGGACAATCGCAGGTTAGCCGCCACAAAGCTAACCGCGTCTTGTTGACAGGCTTTACGTATGATAGTAAATAATTGATTTCGTGTTTACCCTAATATGTACACTAATTACAGCATAATATTAATTTCTCCTTTGTATAATATTTCATGTATAAAAATGGATCCTGTTTGATCGAATACCTATTGCAGAATGTGAAATAACGTAAAACTTACCAAAGTATGCATAAAATTGTGACTTTTGACAGCCGATATATCCTAAATAGAAGTCATTAAATCCCATAGGAAATTAGCTGCTGAGTGCTGATGATGATGGCAACTACGGTTTAACTGGGTCCACCAACAAAACAAGCAAACCTTGAATAAAAGTGATAAAAAGTCAAAGTTCTGACCATACAGATGTAATTAGACCAAGCTTTGAAACTGAAGCCACCCCGTGTCACAAACACGGTAGTATATTTGTACACGAAATTTTCAAAATTATAGGTGTGATTATCTCAATTAATCATTATTATATATAACATGTATCTATATTTTTCAATTTATGAGAAGAAATTAATAATATTTTATATATTATATAAAGATTAATTAAAAATATCGCCTAATAGTTTCTTCCTATTAAAATTCAAAATATATATCCAGTTTGCTATAAATATGTACCCCACCCAGCGTTAATATTATATTTGTAAATTGTAAGGAACATGAGCATGAAGGAGAGAAAGTCTGTATTGGAGCGTCTGAGAATGGCGGTGCAGAAGGTGAAGCTTCTTCTGGGCGCCACCGTGCTCAGCCACGCGTGGCATGCGGCAAGCCTTCTCCGGCGTGGTTCTCAGATCAAACGGCAGGTTAGTTTGGACGATCGAGCCGGGTTGATGATTTGTGCTTCGGAGGAAACGGATTCAGAGGGCTTGGTTCATGTTTCTTCTCCGAGTAGTGCGCGAAGCCTTCAGAGGACCATAA